AATCTGGAAGGGCCGGGATTTAGCTCAGTGGTTCTGCTGCCTGCCTCGCAAGTGCAAGGACCTGAGTTTGATCCCCGGTACCACCAAAAAAAAAAAAAAAAGAACCTGGCAATAGTTAATGGGAAAATATAATTTAAATTCTTAAATAACATTTAAAATATTGAATACCAGTTTACATGTAAGAAATAGTACTTAATCATGTCTCATAAATGTATAGCTTTGTCATTTGAAATCTTATCCTTACTGTGGTAACACACTAAACGTATTTTTGTGTCCTTATTTTTCTGAGTAGATTTTTCTAAAAAATTAAGCCCATTATTTTTTGCTTTTTGTGAATTTATATTATCATCTCAAGATATATATTTAACATTATGCTATCAAGTTATTAAGTTATTTCCTGCATTTTGGGCATGTCTCACAATATGGGGAAGTTTGAATTTACCTGTATCCCTGATGTGTATATTTTTGCCAAGGCTGCAGGAGAAACACTTGGAAGGGGATTTCTTTACTCTGGGCAGTCCTCTAAACTTCTCTTCAACATAGTGACTGTCTTCTCTTACATTCCTCTCTCTCTTCCTAAAGAGGAAGAAATAAGGAAGTGAGCATAGGAGGGTGTGAACATTTCTCTAATCTCCCAAATCCAGATGGAAAGGAGAGAGGATGTGACAAGGAGGGGCTCCACAATTAAACCACTGGTATGTGGCAAGGAGTCCCTGAGGGTGTGAGAAGGCACAGGAATTTTCACATCCGTGATTTTTAAGTCCCCAGCACTCATTCTTCTCCCCTCTTGTTCCTCATTTCTTCGTTTCTTGTGTAAGAATTTAGTAGCAGTAACTGTCTCTTTCACATACTGCTTCATTATCCATCAACCTCGTGGGCCTGACAGGAGGAGGCAGAAGACTACAAGGTTACAAAATCCACTCACAATTCTGTGATTCAGTGCTGTTCGATGAAACTTTGTATTAAATTTTAGGAAGCATGAAATGCTTCATTAAGCTTAGTAGTGTAATTTTTTGTTAGATTCAATGAATTTTCCTTTTTTGTATGTCACTGAGTTAGTTTTGCATCCTATTGTATTATATATATTGTTCATTATGCTTAAAATAGTCCCTAAAATGGTTTCAATTTGTACAAGTATAAAGGGAAGAAATGACTCATTTAAGGGCCTCAGACAGAAATAAGACATGCTGCCAACCTATGTTCTAGTGGGAGGGACTGATGTTCCTACTCATAGGCAGTTATAACACTGGACAGAAGCACAAAGTACAGTAGTCCATGGGAACCAAAGGAAAACAGGTTTCTCAAAGGTGGTGCCATTTTATCTAGGTCTTGAGAGCAGGTAGGAAGCAAGGTGGATTGTGGGTGAAGGCATGCAAAGTCAGAGGCCTGAGTGCAAATATGCTAATGTGGCTGCCTTGGGAAAGCAAATCAAAGTGGGACTGAAGAAGCAGGCCTGGCACAGTGACTGGCATATAACCGATGCTCAATGTTGATAGAAAAGAGAAGGGATTATTTCACTCTTTGACTCAAAATCCTCCCATCACACTGAATAAAATCTTAGGACCTCATCCTGGTTTGTGTGGCTCTACATTTCTGCCTTCTTAGCTTTATCACCTTATTTCAAAACACTCTAGTTAGTTCTGCTCTAGCCCACTGTCTCCCTCTCTCCATTTCTCACTTCTCCACTTTTCTAGCTAAATGTTCCTCACACATATCTTTTTCCTGCCCACATTATCTAAGATAGCCACTCCACACTATTTAACTGAAGTGATTTACATTTTACAATTAATGCAGAGTAACAATTTTCTAACAGTGATCCTTTCACTTAATTGTATTCTAATATGCTTTCCTCAGCAAGTAGAGGAAAAAAGAGAGTGGGTAAATATCTTAGTGCAGGCAGAAGAGGATCTCTCATACTCTCCAGAATGCTTGATCTATGCCAGAGGTTACCTTCAGAAAACATTAGAATTTAAAAGTCATCCATTAAAAAAAAAAAGTCACCCATTTTGTATGCTCCAGGAGGGTGGGGGAATGTATATTTTGATCTACTGCCTTAAAAATCATCCCCAAATCTCACCACTAGAAATTATTTTCTTTTATATCCTTTTCTGATTTGCATCTAAATGTATATATAATAGTTAGACATGTATATTTTATTCATTTTTAATGTAATTTTAAGTTGGTGAGTTAAGTAAAATGTGCAAGGTTGTGTGTGGCAGACTGTTGTACTACCAGATTGTTTATAATCCAGGAATTTAGCAACAAGTTGAGGCTAACTGCCTTTGCCTTGGCTCTTTACAATTCTCCACAACTTCTCCACCCTTGCAAAACCACTTTGATCTCACTCAACAGCTGACCCAACAATGACTCATGTTCTTTACACAAACACACCTTTTACTTTAACTTATATACTTCCTCCTACCTGGGATGCCTCTTACTCCATGCAACTTCCATTCAATAAAAACAACTTCAATTTAAAAAATAACTATCACATTACCGAAATTTTAGAAAATAAAGAAAAAATACTACCCATAAAATAGCCCCCATTTGTTTTAGCTTTTTTTAATTGACACATAAAAGTTGTAAATTTTTATGGAGTTCCAGGTGCTGTTTGGATACATGCATACACTGTACAATGTTCAAATCCTTGTCTCCTCAAATATTTATCATTTCCTTATGGTAAAAATATTTCTTTCTTCTAGCTTTTTTGGAAACAAAGTACACAGTCCCTTATTGTTATCTATAGTTATCCTACTGTACAAAAGCTCTCAAACTCGGGCTTTCAGCATGTTAAGTATATTCTTCACCATACCACCTGCCCTGTCATTCATATTTTGAGACTTTTTTTTTTTTGGCTTGCTTGCTTACTTGCTTAATTTATTGTAATGTTAGGGATAAAACCTAGGGCATCACGCATGCTAGGCAAGTGTTTTACCACTGGGATAAATTCCAAGGCCCTGTAATTCATTTTTAAAAGATATTTTTGTTGTGCATAGAATTCAGAGCTGAAGTTTTTTCTTTAAAGATATCACTCTTCAGGGCTGGGGATTTAGTTCAGTGGTTTTGTCACCTGCCTTGCAAGCACAAGGACCCAAGTTCGATCCCCGGTACCAAAAAAAAAAAAAAAAAAAAAGATGTCACTCTTCAGTTTGGTGTGTGTGTGTGTGTGGCATAATTTCTGAGGAATAGTAGGTTTCTACTGTTGTTTTTAATCATCCTTGTTTTGTATATATGTACCTTTTATTCCCTCTCCTCTGCCTGCAGGATTTTCTTTTTAATCTTTGGTTTTTAGCAGTTTAATATAGTGTATCTAGTTTTTTTGTTCTCTTTTAATCCTTCTGAGCCTTTAGTGTTTTGATATGTTCATCATTTTTGGAAAAGAAACTTGACAATTATGTCTTCAAATATTTCTATCTCTCCCATTTTTTTTTTTTTTTTTACCGGGGATTGAACTCAGGTCCTTGCGCTTGTGCAGAAGGTGGCAAAATCACTGAGCTAAATCCCCTACCCTTTCTCTCCCATTTTATCTCCTTACTCTTGGGATTCAGATTACACAAAATAGGCCATATGATATTGTGCCAAAACTCTTGAATCATATTTTCTTATCTTCTTCATTTTGTTTCCTTTTTGAACTTCATTTTAAATCATTTGTATTGGTCTATGTTCAAATCCACTCTTTTCTCAGTTTTGTCAAATCTACAGATGTGTCTACAAAAGTCATTATTTATATTGGTTATTATGTTTTGTTACTATAGCTTTTCCACTCAATTATTTTAGAGCTTTTTTCTGCTGATTTTCCGCAACTGTTCAGGGTTGTTCCCCATTTTTGTACTTACAGCTAACGTATTTGCCATAATTATTTATTTCTTATCTGATAGTTTCAATATCCATGTCATCCCTATATCAGGTTCTGTTGATTGCTTTGTCTCTTAAAAATGGGCTCAAAATCTTTGTATAAATTCTCTATCTTCTACTTTTTAATCGCTTGATGAACATAGTGTAGAAAAGTAGAGGCTGAAGAAAATAATAAATACTATTTATTACTGGAAATGACATCTCTTTTTCTGCTAGGACTGTAGAGGGTTGAGCTGATACAGTCAGAAATCAAGTTGGGTTTGTCTTTTGTTGTTGCTATGTTTTATGTTTTATGTATCACTAGTTTTAAATTCCATTAAATTTACCATTTGCTTAGGGTACAATTGGTTCCCAGATGTTCTTTCTTAATGTTCTGCTTCTCCTTTAAGCCTTCTCTACAAATTTATGCTCCAGAGAGCATCTCTCTATGCTCTTGCCCTCTTCCCCAACAGCAGACCTCCACTGTTTTTTACTTTATTTGGTGCTTGCTGGGGGAGGGTGCAGGAAAGCTTTTGGTGGTCTTGCTCCAGTGTCAGACTTAGCCAGACCCTATCTCTGGGCATCACAGGTGGTTTTTCTTCAGTGATCATGACCTTCACCAAGAGGTAGAAATCCTCTAATGGGCTGGATCTAGGATTGATTCTTACACTTCCTCCAGAGTTAAGAGTGTTTTGCTCTTTTCTCACCTGTATTCTCCCGGATGCAATTCTGTGTCACCTATACTGTAGGAGAGCAAGACTTGCTATCTCTACCCTAAAAATGTAAGTATTTTGTTTTTTAGAAGAAAAGCCTGGGTGGAGCTTTGTGTGCTTCCCACACAAACCACTACTCTCCTCTCCAGGCCTGTACTGTAGTACCAAATGAGACTTCCTAGGATCTCTGATCCTACTCCCAGTCTTTCTCATTTGTATCCAGTGAAGTCTGGAAAATAACCTACAAGCTGTTACAAACCACCATTACATCTTGTGCTCTCATAAGTTCTGTGCTGTAATGCTGGAACAAACTCAGCCTTTGGCAATTAGTTATACTTCTTACCTGGATCCTTCTTGCTTACTTGCATAGTAGCTTTCCCTTCCTCCTGTGCTTTGCCACAAGGTCAGTGCTTTTGTCTTTTCTCTTCTTGAAGGTGCTTATTTTTCCTCAGCTTTCGGGGAAGTTTGGTGCCTTGTGATGTCAGTTTTCTGGGGTTCAAGAAAAGTTATGAGCTTTACATTTCTTTTTCTTGTTAGTTTGGGAACAACATTCTTTGCAGCTTTCTATATCTGAAGCAGAAACTAGATTTCCTAAGAATCTGAAATGTCCTATTTATTATTCTAAATTCCAATATGCATTTGGACCTGGACTTTTGAAATTTCATTATATTCAATTAATCTGTAAATTTGGTGTCTATCATTCTCCTGCATGCTTTTTAATTTTTTGCTACATGTTCATCTATAAATAAAATATATTAATTTTACAGTAGTCCATAAGCAATGTAACATACATATGCTTCCTTCTGCAACTACCTGAGATTTTTTTTTAATTTCTATTTAATGTTCATATATGTAGTTGTAGTTCATTCATTTTTATTAATGAATACATTATACTATAGGGTACAAAGCAATTAGTTTATCCATTCTGTTGATGATATTTTAATTGTTTTATCTTTTTTGTTACTACAAACAATACTGCAGCGAATACTTCAGTTGATGTAGTGTTAGTATGATTTTTTTGAGACAGCTTATCTTTATGACACCCAGGCTGGCTCCAAACACCTGGGCTCCAGCGATCCTTCTGCCTCTGCAGCAGCTAGGATTATAGGCACATATCATTGCTCCTGGTTACATGAATATCTTTAATGTGTCTTAACTGGGATACAGGTAGTGAGGGTTGGTCATCTGTAGCTATGAGCTGACTTATTCGTCTACCCAAATATGCTCTACTATATATAAAGCCATTATTATAATTTCTTAGATATGTCACGTTGTAAAAGAGGTTGACAAGTACTGCTTTAGGGTATATATAGAAAACAGGATTGATAAGATAGTAGGTTATATTTTTTGTCCTTTCCAAAGAATTTGGGGGAATTTATAATATATACCTTAAGAGTACATGAAAATTCCAGTTGTTAGTGTCTAACTGACGCATCATTTTCTCACTTTTGCTAACCTGAAATAATCTCTCAATTGTACAGTATTTCATTAATAATGAGGCTTTTAAAGAGATATAAACCTCTTTGGTGCCTGCCTCGCAAGCTCAAGGTCCTGAGTTCTATCCCCAGTACCAAAAATAAAAAAATAAAAAAATAAACCTCTGTAATACTTATTGGATATTTCAGTATCTTGTTATTCTTTTGTTTTTTAGATAAATGCTTTATTTTTTTCTCAAAATGTTATAAAAGTTATTTCTCTTGAGCACACAAGAGTTTTGTAAATGTATCCAGTAATGAACAAAATCTACTTGAACACTGATCCACTTTTACTAACATTTCTTTAATGCTCCATTACTGTTTTTCTTTCCTGTGTTAGCTCTTTGTCCTAGTCGTCTGCCATGACAAAACGTGACTTTGGGAAACACATGATCTCAGGTTGCCTGTACTTCTTTCTCACTTTCCCATCTTCTACAAACAGGCAGTGCGTGGCAGCAAGAACCTGACTCGGGGATGAAACGGCCCGTAGAGAAGGACCCTAAGGCCCAAGAGAGGCCAGGGCACAGGGTCTGGTGGGTGGAGACAGTAGGTGTACCTCTACATGCAAATTTCCTAGTGCTCTCTATTAAAGAAAAACCGACCTCATCTCCAAAGATGGGAAAAACAGGGCTCCCAGGGTAGTGCCCCCACTCAGAGGGCTTTAGTAAGCAGCCCTAGGGGGACCCACCTACAGCGTGACCTCAGCCTGGCCCACGTCTGTCCACCTTCCGGAAGCAGTTCTTTGTTATTCTTTAAAAATTTTTTTTATTTTTAATTAAGTTTCCTGGTATAATTTAATGATCACATTCTTCATATGGAATTTGTATGTGTACATGATATATCTTAATTCTTATTTCTTCTTTTGTTACTCTTTCAGCAAATTCTTAGTTCATATTTAGGACTAATCCTAGAACTTATCAGTTATAGGTCCCACAGATATCTTTTCTCATTATGTGACTTGTCATATTTTGTATGTTACTTAATTCATGAATTAATTTGAATGCAATAAAATATCAGTATTTAATATGATTTCATCTTTATTTAAAATTTTTACCTTTTTAGAACAAAAACATATAGTCTCCTACATTTTATTTAAAATGTTAAAGTTTTGCTCCTCATATTTAGGCTTCTAATTTGTCTGGAACTTATTCCTAAGTGTGAAATGTAGGGATCTAGTTTTATTATTATTTAGATAAGAAACTGTCCCAATTATTCTTTTTGTTTTGAGACAGGGACTCAGGCTGGTCTTGAACTCACTACGTAGCCCAGGCTGGCCTCAAACTAGCAATCTTCCTGTTTCCTAAGTCCAACCATTCTTTCTCTGTTGACTTATTTGTATGATGGTGCTACATATGTGATATGTCAAGTTCTTATAAAACTTTGGGCCTATTTTGGAGTTTTATATCACTTGTTTATTTTTCTAGTTACATTTTGGCATCTATGAAAATGTTTATATGGTTTTCTTCTTTTACTTTGTTAATATGATAAGCTGTGTTGATTTTCAAATGTTACACTAATCTTTAATTCTGGTATAAACTACATTTAACCATGATGATTTATCATATTTACATATTCACTGATTTGGTAAAAGATTTGTTAAAGATTTTTGAATTTATGGGGATATATTGTTTTGAAATCTTCTTTTAATGTCTTTACTAATTAGTTTCAGGATTAAGGTTATACTGACCTCACAAAATGAATTAAACAATGTATCCTCCTTTTTTTTCCTCCTCCTTTGTTTTCTTCAGAGTTTATCTAAATTATTTCTTCCTTAATTTTTGTTAAAATTCACCATGGAAACCACTTAGGTATTTAGTTCTCTGAGTCATAGCTATTTTAAAATCTATTTCTGATAAAAATTGTTGGATATTGTATCAACTTCATCAGATGGCAACTACATTCCAAAGAAACTGTTTACCTCTGGATTAGAATTAGCCAAAAGAGAAATATGTATGAGATTTGGAAGGTAGAAATGAAGTAGCAGCTAATACTCTGATAGTATTTGTGGTTAGAATTGGTGAGATACAAATGCTGGAAGATTTCAATTTGCTCTTGTTTTTCCCTGCTTTATGTCCAGCTTTTCTTCCTAACTCCACAGCCTGGTGAACAACAAATGACTCAGACTCATCACCAGATGAAGAGGTAATTAATACCTTCCACATAACTCATGCAACTTTCTTTTGAAGGTCAGCAGCAGGATATGCACAGCTTCTCATTTTCCCTGATAAGCTAATCTGACCCAAACAGATCAGTGCATTAGAAGGGTTGGTTCATGAATTTTCTCCAACCCACCAAAGTGCCTTTTGGAATTCCACTTCTTCAGTTTCTCTCACAATTGTATAGTCTTATTGCTACAACAAATTCTGTATTCTGTAGTACACTGGTTCTCTTTCCTGGTTGAGTTCTTAATATCCATTGGTTTTATCTCTTTGTATGCCTTGTCACTTTTTGATTAAACACTGGACATTATACAAAAAAATTGTAACAATTTGAGCCTCTGGAAGATGTTACTTTCTTCCAGAAAGGATATACTTTAGTTCTGGCAGGGAAATAGGGTAAACGCAGATCCTCTTATTCTTATTCAGGATTGAGTTAATTTCAGACTTTGTGATGGTTTACTTATTTCTATTCTTCAAAGATCCAAATCAAACACAGTTTCTCCTTTTAGACAAACTTTGAAGTCTTGTTTTAATTCCTTGCATCCCATGAATAACATGTCTAGGCTCAGTTTATCAGTCTCTTAGCCACTTGTTATAAATCAGCAAATACCTTTGGAGAAAAGTGGTGCTGAATGTTGGATTTACTTTGTGCTTCTCTTTTGACTTTGATCCTTCAGGGCTTGTGGCCAAATCTTAGACATAATTGTATATGCTAAATTCAATTCTTTTCTCTCATTGTCACTAAATAGGATTTCACCGCCACCACCTTACTGAAATTGCTCTTGTCAAAGTCAATATTGCTATATCCAATTATCAGTTCTTCGTAGTAGTAGTAGTAATCATTGCTTCCTGGAAATATTTTCTTCATTTTCTAGAATGTCAGTGTCCTTATTTTTTTTTCCTATCTCATTTAGTAGCCTTCAGTATTCTTTGTTTTTTCCTCATCTCCCTTGTATCTTAACAATGGATACCCAGGCCTCAATCCTGGGGCCTGTACTCTTATATTTGAATTTACTCTCCCAAGAATTTCAGACTTAGAACTTCCATATAATATATATCTATAGTCAAGCTCCTGAAATTCTATCTCCAGCTTAGACTTCTAACATTGTGACTTGAATGCTTAACACATTTGTAAACTAATAAGCATCTCAAACTTAACATATTCAGGACTTGGTATTTCACACCACAAACTAGTTCTACTGCATTCTCTTCTAAATTAATTGTAATTCTACCTATCCAGTTGATAAGGCTAAAATTCTTAGCTCTTCTCATATCTCAAATTCACTTGATCTTAGCCAAAAGGCCAAGAAGTGATACCCCAAATTCAATCCTGTAGTCTCTATCTTCAAAACAAATTTAGAATCCTACACCTTCTTATAACCTTCACCCTGGGCCCAAATGCTCCTCTCTTCCGTGTGGACTGCAGTTAATAGTATCCTAAGTGGTCTACAGGGCATCCTATTAAAAACCTAAGCCAAAGGGGTAGGGGTAGTGGGAGGGGCAGGGGAAAGGAAAGAAGGGAAAGGAAAAAATGATGAGAAATGGAAAAAATGGAAATAAAGTCTTTGTAAATAGGGAAGGGTGGAGGGCGTGAAGGGAGGGCTAGGAATGGGGAAAAAATAAGAACCAAGATGCATTATGTAAAGGTACAATTCCCAATGAGAAATGTAATTGTGTCGTATACCTACAATGTACCAATAAAAGAATTTAATACAAAAAAAAAAACAAACCTAAGCCAGGTTACAAAGGGGGAACAATACAGAGTGAATGTTACATTAAAAAATTAAAGACAGGGGCTGGGGATTTAGCTAAGTGTTGCTGCCACCTGCCTTGCAAGCACAAGGTCCTGAGTTTG